CAGGAAGAAATAGAAAATATGAACACACCAATCACAAGCACTGAAATTCTAGCTGTGATTAAAAATCTTCCAACAAACAAAAGCCCAGGACCAGATGGCTTCACAGGCGAATGCTATCAAACATTTTGAGAAGAATTAACACCCATCCTTCTCAAACTCTTCCAAAATAGAGCAGAGGGAGGAAAACTCCCAAACTCATTCTTTGAGGCCACCATCACCCAGATACCAAAACCAAAGATGTCACAAAGAAAGAAAACTACAGGCCAATATCATTGATGAACATAGATGCAAAAAACCTCAACAAAATACTAGCAAACAGAATCCAACAGCATATTAAAAGGATCTTACAACATGATCAAGTGGGGTTTATTCCAGGAATGCAAGGATTCTTCAATATATGCAAATCTATCAATATGATACATCATATTAACAAATTGAAGGAGAAAAAGCATATGATCATCTCAATAGATGCACAGAAAGTTTTGACAAAATTCAACACCAATTTATGATAAAAGCCCTCCAGAAAGTAGGCATAGAGATAACGTACCTCAACATAATAAAGGCCATATGTGACAAACACACAGCCAACATCATCCTCAATGGTGAAAAACTGAAAACATTTCCGCTAAGGCCAGGAACAAGACAAGGTTGCCCAGTCTCACGACTATTATTCAACATAGTTTTGGAAGTTTTAGCCACAGCAATCAGAGAAGATAAAGAAATAAAAGGAATCCAAATTGAAAAAGAAGAAGTAAAGCTGTTTGTAGAGACATGATACTATACATAGAGAATCCTAAAGATGCTACCAGAATACTACTAGAGCTAATCAATGAATTTGGTAAACTAGCAGGATACAAAATCAATGCACAGAAATCTCTTGCATTCCTCTACAGTAATGATGAAAAATCGGAAAGTGAAATTAAGAAAACACTCCCATTTACCATTGCAACAATAAGAATAAAATATCTAGGAATAAACCTATCTAAGGAGACAAAAGACCTGTATGCAGAAATTATATGAAACTGATGAAATAAATTAAAGACGATACAAATAGATGGAGAGGTATACCATGTTCTTGGATTGGAAGAATCAACATTGTGAAAATGACTCTACTACCCAAAGCAATCTTCAGATTCAATGCAATCCTTAGCAAACTACCACTGGCAGTTTTCACAGAACTAGAACAAAAAATTTCACAATTTGTACAGAAACACAAAAGACCCCGAGTAGCCAAAGCAAGCTTGAGAAAGAAAAACGGAACTGGAGGAATCAGGCTCCCTGACTTCAGACTGTACTTCAAAGCTACAGTAATCAATACAGTAAGGTATTGGCATGAAAACAGAAATATTGATCAGAGGAACAGGATAGAAAGCCCAGAGATAAACCCACGTACATATGGTCACCTTAGTTTTGATAAAAGAGGCAAGAATATACAATGGAGAATAGACAGCCTCTTCAATAAATGGTGCTGGGAAAACTGGACAGCTACATGTAAAAGAATGAAATTAGAACACTCCATAATACCATACACAGAAATAAACTAAAAATGGATTAAAGACCTAAATGTAAAGCCAGAAACTATCAAACTCTTAGAGGAAAACATAGGCAGAACACTCTATGACATATATCACAGCACGATCCTTCTTGACCCACCTCCTAGAGAAATGGAAACAAAAACAAAAATAAACAAGTGGGACCTAATGAAACTTAAAAGCTTTTGCACAGCAAAGGAAACCATAAACAAGATGAAAAGACAACCCTCAGCATGGGAGAAAATATTTGCAAATGAAGCAACTGACAAAGATTAATCTCCAAAAGACATTTCTCCAAAGAAAATCTATAGATTGCCAACAGACACATGAAAGAATGCTCACATCATTAATCATTAGAGAAATGCAAATCAAAACTACAATGAGATATCATCTCACATTGGTCAGAATGGCCATCATCAAAAAATCTACAAACAACAAATGCTGGAGAGGGTGTGGAGAAAAGGGAACCCTCTTGCACTGTTGGTGGGAATGTGAATTGGTACAGCCACTATGGAGAACAGTATGAAGGTTCCTTAAAAAACTAAAAATAGAATTACCATACGACCCAGCAATCCTCCTACTGGGCATCTACCCTCAGAAAACCGTAATTCAAAAAGAGTCATGTACCAAAATGTTCATTGCAGCTGTATTTACAGTAGCCAGGACATGGAAGCAACATACGTGTCCATGGACAGATGAATGGACAAAGAAGATGTGGCACATATATACAATGGAATATTACTCAGCCATAAAAAGAAACGAAATTGAGTTATTTGTAGTGAGGTGGATGGACCTAGAGTCTGTCATAGGGAGGGAAGTAAGTCAGAAAGAGAAAAACAAATACCGTATGCTAACACATATATATGGAATGTAAAAAAAAATGGTCATGAAGAATCTAGGGGTAAGATGGGAATAAAGACACAGACCTACTAGAGAATGGACTTGAGGACACGGGGAGCGGGAAGAGTAAGCTGGGAGAAAGTGAGAGAGTAGCATGGTCATATATACACTACCAAATGTAAAATAGATAGCTAGAGGGAAGCAGATGCATAGCACAGGGAGATCAGCTTGATGCTTTGTGACCACCTAGAGCGGTGGGATAGGGAGGGTGTGAGGGAGGGAGATGCAAGAGGGAAGAGATATGGGGATATATGTATATTTATAACTGATTCACTTTGTTATAAAGCAGAAACTAACACACCATTGTAAAGCAATTATACTCCAATAAAGATGTTAAAAGAAAAAGCTAGGCAAAATTGAACTATAGTGTTTGAGTATATATTTGTGTGATAAAACTGTACAGAAAATCATGAAGGTGATTACCATAAATGTCAGGATAGTGGTTACATTTAAGGATGGAAGGAGTGAGCTGTGTTTGGACAGGGTACAGAGAAGCCTTCTGGATTGGCTGGCAAAGTTCTATTGATTTGGGTCATAGTTACCAGCGTGTTTTCCTTCTAAGTCAATAAGCTATAATTTTGTTTTATGCAATTTTCTGTATTTGTGCTATATTTTGCAAGAAAAAAATTTTAAGGGGAAAATGATTGAATTAAGCAGTGGCCAGATATTGCCTTTGATGGGACTTCTCCCATATACTGATGAGCTCTCTCAAAGTTCTAGGCAGATCAACTGGAGACAATCAGCCCATCACACAAACCAAGAGCATTTTTTCCAAGGTTAGTCTCTGTGTATATAGCCTGGTCAGTGTTTCTTTCTCTTGGGTGTATCTGCCTCTCTCTGAGCCCCAAGGATGATGGCTTGTGAAGATATCCAGTCACCATTTCTCATTTCTCCTTTAGGTTTCTAAAAGTGAATCATCCTCTGTTCTCTAACAGAGATATTATTAAGTAGCAATTACACTAATATTCTAATGATCAATACAAATGACCCAGGTAAAGGAAATGTCTCTGGTCTGTTCCGCTTCCTTTCTATTACTAACTTTATGTGAACACAATTGCCTAAACCTTGACAAGTTCTCCCAGAGACATTTTAGTAAGTCTATCTGAGGTTCACAGAATGCCCAAGAAAGGCTCCAGCACATTGTAGAGTGCTGTCCAAGTGTCTCTGCACATTCACCCTCTCATTTCTTCCTATTCTTTGTGATTAGGTGTGTACATTCTTTTTATGTGATAGCAAATAATTAAGCCATTACTTGAGGCAAAAAGCATGAAGGGGTTTCACATCTAATGGCTTGGGAACAACACAGAGCTAGTAAAATAGTGGCAACCCCAGACTGAAACCACCAAGGATCCAAGTGTGTTAGACATACGACATTTTTTTCTACCCCTGAAATCTGCAGAACAAATTTCTTAAGTTATAAATCAGTTACTAATTTTAACTTTTTGGGTTGTTGTTGGATTTATTTAATATCCAACTCTATGACTTCATCTTGTACTAGCAAACTGCATTTTCCCAGTATCTTTTTTCTATTTCAGTTTGATCTAAATTAAGATAATTTACAAAGTAGCTCTTCTAGGCTTTGGCTCAAATGTTACAAACTCTTTCTAAGCATGAGATTCTATTGCTTAGGGTCTTATGGACTTTGCCCATCTCAGAGGTCTTAATCAGCTTAATTAGGCTGATACCCACAAGCCTTGTAAGGTTCCAATATGACACTGATTCTTTCTTAGAGAAAACCCAGCATCAGCAGTAAGGTTCCAGGCCCCCAGAATTAGAGAGGAAAGCCTGTGGACCTACAGTGTACTCCAGGGAGGTGCTGGTGAGTGGGGCAGGTACACCAGAATACAGTTGGTTAGAAGAATACAAGTGATCTGAGTCCTGTGCCTGTCTATGTGATGCACCACCGCATCACAGGCCAGCCATTGTCCTGGCACCTGCACAAATGCTGTAGGTTGTGCAGCTTTACCGGGACAAGGGTCTCCTTGGGAATTCCTTCCATGTAGATACAGCCAAAGTGCTTAACATGAAAAAAGGTTATAACCCCATCTTTACACGGTAGAAGCCATCAGCCAAAGTTATAGGCTTATGGGGGGGGGCGGGGGGGCGGGAGGGGCGGCACTGGAAAAGGGAAATCCAAAGGTCTCGGGTTTCAAATTAATACTGATCTAAAGTCGCATTTCCAAGGTTCGGCTTCATCTCCCTGTATTTCAAGAGCGCCTCCCTGATCACTAATTGCTTCCTTCCGTTGCTGGGTAAACCTTTAACCCCTATCCTACCTCCATTTGTTCAATAGGAATTTTCATTTTCACTTGAATCTTGAGTAGAATTGGAAATCAGGTGTGCCTGTCTAGGCTTAATCATTAAGTCGTGGTCAAATCGCTCTCCCGGAGCGCGTGAACAAAAATGAATGGACATTTACGTAAAAAAAAAAAAGAGAGAGAGAGAGAGAGAGAGACTTTCGGACTTCACCCAGGACTGAGGATGCAGGAGGCCGAGCGTACGGATAGCAGCGAGGGGTCAATCCCCGCCCGGCGCCGGGTCGGCGGTGGAGGAGTCGGAAGTGGTCGGGGTTTGGGGGAGGAGATCCGCTCATACACAACAGGAGAGGTTGCGCCGCCATATCTGCTGCCGCCGCCGCAGTTGCGAATGCAGCGTCGGGACCGGGCTGCCTCCGCGCCGCCGCTAAGGTTCGTGTCGCTCCCCCGCGAGCCCCCTGCTCTTGCCGCCTCATCCCCGGCGGCACTGCCCTCTATTTCTGGCCCGTTGAGCCCGCTCCCTTCCCGCATCCATCAGGGCTGAGGACCATGGATCCGGGCAGCAGCAGCAGCAGCGACTCGGCTCCCGACTGCTGGGACCAGGTGGACATGGAAGCACCGGGTTTGGCCCCGAGCGGGGACCGAGCCGCCTCGGCGGCTGCTGCGGCGGCGGCCGAGGCCCAGCGTGAGCCCCTCATCTCGGCCTTCAGCAGACAGCTCAACGTCAACGCCAAACCCTTCGTGCCTAACGTCCACGCCGCGGAGTTCGTGCCGTCCTTCCTGCGGGGCCCGTGCCAGCCGCAGATCCCCCCGGCCGACGCCCCCGGCATCGATGAAACCTGCTCCGGCGCGGGCGACCCTCAAGGTAAAAGGCTGGGACGGGGGGCACCTGTGGAACATTCCAAAGAGGAACAGTTAGTGTGGCGTGAAGGTTCCAATTCAGCCGTTACCATGGAACTTTCGGAACCTGTTGTAGAAAATGGAGAGGTGGAGATGGTCTTAGAAGAATCATGGGAGCACAATAAAGAAGTAAGTGAAGCTGAGCCAGGGGGTAGTTCCTTGGGAGATTCGGGGCCCCCAGAAGAAAGTGGCCAGGAATTGATTGAGAAAGAGGAAATCAGAAAATCGAAATCTGTGGTCGTACCCTCAGGTGCTCCTAAAAAAGAACACGTAAATGTGGTATTCATTGGGCATGTAGATGCCGGAAAGTCAACCATTGGAGGACAGATAATGTTTTTGACAGGAATGGTTGACAAAAGGACACTTGAGAAATACGAAAGAGAAGCTAAAGAAAAAAACAGAGAAACTTGGTATTTGTCCTGGGCCTTAGATACAAATCAGGAAGAACGAGACAAGGGTAAAACAGTAGAAGTGGGTCGTGCCTATTTTGAAACAGAAAAGAAACATTTCACAATTTTAGATGCCCCTGGCCACAAGAGTTTTGTCCCAAATATGATTGGTGGTGCTTCTCAAGCTGATTTGGCTGTACTGGTAATCTCTGCCAGGAAAGGAGAGTTTGAGACTGGATTTGAAAAAGGTGGACAGACAAGAGAACATGCAATGTTGGCAAAAACAGCAGGGGTGAAATATTTAATAGTGCTTATTAATAAGATGGATGATCCCACAGTAAATTGGAGCAGCGAGAGATATGAAGAATGTAAAGAAAAGCTAGTGCCCTTTTTGAAGAAAGTCGGCTTCAGTCCCAAAAAGGACATTCACTTTATGCCCTGCTCAGGGCTTACTGGGGCAAATATTAAAGAGCAATCAGATTTCTGCCCTTGGTACACTGGATTACCATTCATTCCGTATTTGGATAATATGCCAAACTTCAACAGATCCATTGATGGACCAATTAGACTGCCAATTGTGGATAAGTACAAGGATATGGGCACTGTGGTCCTGGGAAAGCTGGAATCAGGATCCATTTTTAAAGGCCAGCAGCTTGTGATGATGCCAAACAAGCACAATGTGGAAGTTCTTGGAATACTTTCTGATGATGCTGAAACTGATTATGTAGCCCCAGGTGAAAACCTTAAAATCAGACTGAAGGGAATTGAAGAAGAAGAGATTCTTCCAGGATTCATACTCTGTGATCCTAATAATCTTTGCCATTCTGGACGCACATTTGATGTTCAGATAGTGATTATTGAGCACAAGTCCATCATCTGCCCAGGTTATAATGCGGTGCTGCACATTCATACTTGTATTGAGGAAGTTGAGATAACAGCCTTAATCTCCTTGGTAGATAAAAAATCAGGAGAAAAGAGTAAGACACGGCCCCGCTTCGTGAAACAAGATCAAGTGTGCATTGCCCGTTTAAGGACAGCAGGAACTATCTGCCTTGAGACATTCAAAGATTTTCCTCAAATGGGTCGATTTACTTTAAGAGATGAGGGCAAGACCATTGCGATTGGAAAAGTTCTGAAACTGGTTCCAGAGAAGGACTAAGCAGTTTTCTTGTCCCTACACAATACTGTGAGAATTGACTACACAAGTTCACCACCTTCTCTTATTTACTGCCCATTAAGAGACTTTTCTCCATATTTTGCAAAGAAAAATTTCACAGCAAAAATCCATGTTTTGTCAGCTTTCTCATGTTGAGATCTCAGTTGTGTCACTGCTGAATTTACCCATAAGTTTCCTCCTCCTATGCCATTCTGCTTCCTTGAACAGAATCAGTAATAGCTTTGTAAGTGATGTGGATGTAATTGTCTATAACAATGAAAAATTAATATATTTTTTAATTTTTCATTTTCCCTTAGGATATTTAGACAACCCTTGTTCCACGCAGACCAGAGTGTGTCAGTGTGTGTGTACATGTTAAAAAGACAACTAACATGTGAATAAAATATTCCATTTGAAACTCTTATTGGTATTTGAAATGCTTTTGAATATTTTTTTAAATTTGTCTGTAATACTTCTCAATTAGGTTTTTTACTGTCTCAAGTAACTGAATACATTTTATTACCTGGGCTTTTAACAACTGTCCTGCACTCACTGTTTTAAATGAGGAATTTACAAACAATGCACAGGTTTGTGTTAAAGGAAAAATTTTAATTTTGAGAAAAATAATTTAGAGGTCTTCCCAATGAACTTTGTTTTCTGTGTTCAAGTCCAGTCAATAAAGGAGCTCTTCTGCTTCCCCACTTGTGATTTGAAAAAGAAAAGCTCAGGCCATCTATCAAGTCCCCAAATGTTGAACATGGCCAGATTACAAATATACCTGGGGATTCAGACCGTATGTTGACTAGACTGTTATCTGCACTCCCTCATCTTAACACACCCCTTTTTTTAATTCACCAAGAGACTTGTGGTGTGGGACACAACACAGTAAGGGGCATGACTTGAGAAGGTAAATGCTTGCAATAGTAAGTCATTCACTGACAAGTAAGGGTTATTAAGGGTCCTGAGCTTGGAGATGGGGAGACCATTCCACTCTTCTATTCTTCAGTGCTTGGGGTTAGTAGGAAAGGTGGGAGATCATTTTTACAATCAGATCATGACCCACTCTTGGGGTCAGAGTTAACTGGACTCGTCTCTGAAGAGTACATTGGGGAAAACACCAACTGTGGACCCTGAGGTGGCTACTTTTATTGCCAGGAGAGTGGCCTGATAACCTGCATAACTATCAACAGCTGAAAGAACTTTCTGTCTTGGTAAGTAGGTAGTGGCCCAGTGTAAACACTGCCCAATGGTGGACAGAGCCAATTCCTCACATTCGTGGGGTGGTTGAACAAGGGTGGAGACTGCTGCCGGAACACTATGGGCTATACTCAGGACCTTTCTCCATGGTCCCTTTGTTTGTGTCCGCATGTACCTCCAGGGCATCTAACCTGTCAGAGATAGCCACAGGTCTTGTCAGGGCATCAGTAGCATGGCTCTGTGAATCATCCAACCATAGATCTTCGGGGCACCCACAAGGGAAAAGAGGATTTCTATTTTGTCATATGTCAGCTAACCTAACCGACAGGGATGTGCCTCATGTTGTCTTGGACCCAGTCCTTTAATAATTAGAATATCAGTGGCAAGAGTTTCGTCTTATTTTACAGTTCCTTCTCTTGCCTCTGTGCTCTGAGCTTTGTACAAAATACAGGCCAATCCAGTGTTCACTAAAAGTTTTGCTCTGGCAGCCACTTTTTAAAAGTTTATTTCTGATGCTGCATCAATCTCATTGTTTTGCAATCTTAGTAATTTACCAATAGGATAATTGTGGATAGCATCCACTAATAGGCCAAAGCCACAAGGCAGGACAGAACTCTTTTTTTCTCCACCCAATTTGGATAATTTCCCATCAAAAACTGGCTCCTAAATGTCTTTTCTCATTGGCCAGTTGTAAAGAAATTTCTCCACCAGAAGCTCTGAACTCTATAAACAACTTTCAGAGACCAGGACATAAATCTTTGGGAGTGGATTTTAGAAACCAATAATTTTCATTTCAGTGATCATCCAGGTGGTTGGAGACACCTGACCCTGGCTCTTTAAGAAAATATTCAGTATATAAACTCATGGTAATGTTTTTTTTCTAACTTCGTGAATACCTTCATTTGTAGTTCTTAATGTCTGGTAGTGTTCTCCAATACTGCAAATTGAGGCCATTTACAAACACAGTACAGTTTCCACAGGGCATACAAAACAGTGTCCCTTCAGAGGTCCCCTGTTGCCTCTAATTCAGACCAATTTAACTGTGCCAAGAGCACCTCAAATTCCTGGTAAGCAAGATCAGTGTAGAAACTCCCCAAGTCTGGCTGCATCCTGTAAATACATCATGAATTTACTATGTCAGGATGACTCTTGGTGACTTTTCTCCCAAGGTTCTTCCTTTTATTCCTCATTAGAGGACAAATCTGTGGAGATTTAGGAAAAGGGCCCAACTTATATGGTACGTCAGCAAAGACCCATGAAGGAAAGAAAGTGGAAAGCTTGGGCTGGGTAGAAGCTAGCAGAGCTCCACATTGAGCATCTTTCTCTGGTACCCAGGACAAATTGTCAGTGCTATTAATACCCACTATGGTTACCATTCCTGTCTTCAATAGACAAATCCTTTCTCAAAATAGACTCTCTTTTTACAGTGTCATGATTCTGATTTACTACAATGCAAGAACCTGCTCTTTTTAAAGTTTACTTATGCATATTTTGCAGTACAAATATTCAACCCACACACTTTAGTTAAAATGACTGGTTTAATTTCAGGAAAATTATTAGTTAGTGTCATGGCCATACAAAAGAAACTATCCAACAACCACAGAAATTCTGCCAAAACCTGAGCATTTGAACATGTTCACATTGATCCAGTGCCTGTTTTTATGTTCAGTATGATTCTATATTTTCTGTTGCGGGTATTGACGTATTTTCATTTCTCCTAGTTTTCAGTTAACAATATCCACTCATGGTTGGCCACTGGGTGGAAGGAAAATTTGACCCCAGATTTCTCACCAGAGACACGACTGTTTCCACTGAGTGGGGAAAGTTGGCTTGCCTTAGAATTTGGGAGAGGCTTTTTCAGACCACCCTGTGGGTGTTAATGTTCAACCAATCACCAAGATCAACAAGGGAAAGGGAGAGAAAAAAGAACCTACTGTATGAACATGCCACGTATGAGAAAATAAAACAAGAGGAAAAAAAGCTTTGTTTACATACAAGAGGGCAGTTTACAATTTGACTATAGCCTGTAGAATATTCACTATTGGATTCCCTTACAGTTCTATCTTGCACTCAACAATGCAGATTGTTTTAGAGGAAATTTGTCTAAATTCTAGGGGGATTCTCTTTTCCTTCACTTATCCTTTAAAAAATTGTATAGTTTCTTTTATAAGTCAGTGGATGAAAGGTTCAGGCCTTAAGAATCAGGCATCAATCAAAAGGGTTTTCGGCAAAGCCCCTTGTTTTCTACTCAGATTAATATTAAGCAATCAGAATTTACATGCACACATAATTTTCAGACAGTTCTCAGCCCTCTAATGAAGATATTTCTCTCTTTCATTGTTGAACTTCAAAAGTCCAAGCAGAGAATATTGAGACCTGCCCCCAGTTTTAGAATGAGAGGACAAAAAGAAAAAAAAAGAAAGATTTGTCCAGTCAGGCTGCTGTATACATTCATGTCGCTGTATCTCTCATTTGATATGCTATATATCCAATAAGTGTCCAATTATAGCTCTTCTTTCCTCACATTTGGGGCTCTGATTAAAAGGCTTCCTCTAATCTCTAACAGAGACTTAGATGAATTATCTCCTCCTGAGACTGCTTTTACTAGCTGTACCACAGTCTATCAGTGACCTTTTGCCATACCAATAAATTTACAGAACACACTGTCACATGGCAAATGAGCAAGAAAGACCCCAACTGGCTTCTGCTGGTTTAGCTGACAGTTCCTGGATTAAAGGTTAGTGTTTGATTTCTACCTTTTATTTCTTTTTGCACCCTGCTTTAACTGATGCTCATATGACATATATTATTTAGCTTTCCAAACTGCTTTAGCTTCTTTTGCCAGTTTAGTAAGGTATAAATGAATAGGTGAAATAAAATGTATTAATACATTTAAAATTTTTTAACATCTTTATTGGAGTATAATTGCTTTACAATGGTGTGTTAGTTTCTGCTTTATAACAAAGTGAATCAGCTATACATATACATATATCCCCATAGATCTTCCCTCTTGCGTCTCCCTTCCACCCTCCCTATCCCACCACTCTATGTCGGTCACAAAGCACTGAGCTGATCTCCCTGTGCTATGCAGCTGCTTCTCCCTAGCTAGCTATTTTACATTTGGTAGTATATATAAGTCCATGCCACTCTCTCACTTTGTCCCAGGTTACCCTTCCCCCTCCCCGTGTCCTCAAGTCCATTCTCTACATCTGCATCTTTTTAAAAATATCTAAAGGCTTAACTCCTGAGTGATGCTAATGACAGAATGCTTCATCCCCATCTGTGTTCTTCAATGTGTGCCAAACCCAAAAGAACTCTGGTCTGAAAGGGTAAATGAGCTGCAAGCATACATTTTGCACGTTTAAGAAGGGAACACCAAGGTTTGAAGGGAAGGAGATACATCTAAGGAGGCTTTAACCTTAAAGGATGGTGATTCAGGACAGATGTGTGGTGGCTTCACAAGATCCTGGTAGTGAGTAAAAAGTTGCAGTGACCAAATTTAACATAATTCAAGAACATTTGCCTCTATGGATGGCACACTATTCAAGGCCTGAAGGGAAGTTGGGGACACGAGAAAGGTCATATTGATTTCCCAGCAGAATCTGAACTGGGCATCCAGGTGGCTAGGGGACAAATGCACATCAGATTCATTCTGTGAGACAAAGAGGTCAAAACTGCTGGCAATATTGGCAGCATGGTACCAGCTCTGATGGTGACACTACCAAGCCTCACAGATCCCCAGGTATCAGTGTTAGGTCTCACACTATCTACCAATGCCTGACTGAGTTAGCGGTATCCAAAATAGCACATATGACCTGAGTGTGCAGATGTAACAGCTACAATGAAGGGCAAGTTCTGCTCTGGGCCACCCTGGTGCCCCCACCTCTTCCAGAAGATCCCATTGTCAGAGAAGTGGCCAGATCAAAATATGTCCCCTTCCTGACATAGAATATACCTAGCATGGTGCTGAGGAGATAGTGGACCTCGTTTTCTTCCCCTGCTTATGTTTTAGACAGTGATTTGGTAATCTAGAGAAGGGACGTTGACCCATGGCACAGGGGAAATGCACCGTGAAGCCACTAATTGGAACCCTGAATAAGCCACCTCACCCCTCTTCTGAGTCTCTGGTCCCTCATGCATAATGTAGAACTAATGCCAGTTACCTCGTGTTGGGCTGCACCCTGCAGACCTGCAAGATCTGTACTTGCTCAGCCTCAAGACCGAAGAAAGAACCCGGAGTCAGAGACATCAGTGGTTTAATGGATGGGGGATCTTACATGTCTGAAGAAGGTCTTGGAGAGACACCCCACCGTGTGCGGCAAAAGGCGGGCAGGACATGGTGGCAGTCTTTGCTCCCACGGGGAGGGGGAGGTTACCAGTTATAGGGGAAATTGATATCTGGTCGGCTCAGTGGTTACCAGGGAAACCAGCAGAGGAGCACACCCCTCACTGCCCCACTGATAAGCTAACAGGTGGAGATGTTCTGATCTAAAGATTAGAACAATTCACTAGCTGGGGCT